ATTTTGGGGAAAAAACGGGAATTTTGGGGAAAAAAATGGGAATTTTGTGGAAAAAAATCGGGAATTTTGGGGAAAAAAATGGGAATTTTGGGGAAAAAAACGGGAATTTTGGGGAAAAAACGGGAATTTTGGGGAAAAAAATGGGAATTTTGTGGAAAAAAATGGGAATTTTGGGGGAAAAATGGGAATTTTGGGGAAAAAATGGGAATTTTGGGGAAAAAAAATGGGAATTTTGGGGAAAAAATGGGAATTTTGGGGAAAAAACCAGGAATTTTGGGGAAAAAAATGGGAATTTTGGGGAAAAAACCAGGAATTTTGGGGAAAAAACCGGGAATTTTGGGGGTTCTGGGGGCCCTGGGAATGGGGAATTTGGGAATTCTGGGGTCGGGAATCCCGGGAATTCCCAGGTGTGGGATGCTGTGCATCGGCCCCAAGGTGCTGATGGTGCACAAGCGCAGCCACACCGGTCAGGATTCCCAAAAAAACCGGGAATTCCCAAAAAAAACGGGAATTTTGGGGAAAAAAATGGGAATTTTGGGGAAAAAACCGGGAATTTTGGGGAAAAAAATGGGAATTTTGGGGAAAAAAACGGGAATTTTGGGGAAAAAAATGGGAATTTTGGGGAAAAAATGGGAATTTTGGGGAAAAAACAGGAATTTTGGGGGAAAAAATGGGAATTTTGGGGAAAAAATGGGAATTTTGGGGGTTCTGGGGGCCTTGGGAATGGGGAATCCCGGGAATTCCCAGGTGTGGGATGCTGTGCATCGGCCCCAAGGTGCTGATGGTGCACAAGCGCAGCCACACCGGTCAGAATTCCCAAAAAAAACGGGAATTCCCAAAAAAAAACGGGAATTCCGGGAAAAAAATGGGAATTTTGGGGAAAAAAACGGGAATTTTGGGGAAAAAAATGGGAATTTTGGGGAAAAAATGGGAATTTTGGGGAAAAAACAGGAATTTTGGGGAAAAAATGGGAATTTTGGGGAAAAAATGGGAATTTTGGGGAAAAAAATGGGAATTTTGGGGAAAAAATGGGAATTTTGGGGAAAAAACCAGGAATTTTGGGGAAAAAAATGGGAATTTTGGGGAAAAAACCAGGAATTTTGGGGAAAAAACCGGGAATTTTGGGGGTTCTGGGGGCCCTGGGAATGGGGAATTTGGGAATTCTGGGGTCGGGAATCCCGGGAATTCCCAGGTGTGGGATGCTGTGCATCGGCCCCAAGGTGCTGATGGTGCACAAGCGCAGCCACACCGGTCAGAATTCCCAAAAAAACCAGGAATTCCCAAAAAAACCTGGGAATTCTGGGATTTTTTCCAGGAGAAAGGCCGTTCCAGTGCCAGCAGTGGGGTTTTTTGGGATAATTTAGGATAATTTGGGAATGATTCCAGTGGGAATTCCGGGATTTTTTCCAGGGGAAAGGCCGTTCCAGTGCCAGCAGTGGGGTTTTTTGGGATAATTCCCGATGGAATTCCGGGATTTTCCATGTTTTTCCAGGAGAAAGGCCGTTCCAGTGCAGGATTAGGGTTTTTTGGGATAATTTGGGAATGATTCCAATGGGAATTCCGGGATTTTCCATGTTTTTCCAGGGGAAAGGCCATTCCAGTGCCAGCAGTGGGGTTTTTTGGGATAATTCAGGATAATTCCCGATGGAATTCCGGGATTTTCCATGTTTTTCCAGGGGAAAGGCCGTTCCAGTGCAGGATTAGGGTTTTTTTTGGGATAATTCAGGATAATTCCTGATGGAATTCCGGGATTTTCCATGTTTTTCCAGGGGAAAGGCCGTTCCAGTGCCAGCAGTGGGGTTTTTTGGGATAATTCAGGATAATTTCCAGTGGGAATTCCGGGATTTTCCATGTTTTTCCAGGGGAAAGGCCGTTCCAGTGCCAGCAGTGGGGTTTTTTGGGATAATTTGGGAATGATTCCCGATGGAATTCCGGGATTTTCCATGTTTTTCCAGGAGAAAGGCCGTTCCAGTGCCAGCAGTGGGGTTTTTTGGGATAATTTGGGAATGATTCCCGATGGAATTCCGGGATTTTCCATGTTTTTCCAGGGGAAAGGCCGTTCCAGTGCCAGCAGTGGGGTTTTTTGGGATAATTCCCATTGGAATTCCGGGATTTTCCATGTTTTTCCAGGGGAAAGGCCGTTCCAGTGCCAGCAGTGGGGTTTTTTGGGATAATTCCCGATGGAATTCTGGGATTTTCCATGTTTTTCCAGGGGAAAGGCCGTTCCAGTGCCAGCAGTGGGGTTTTTATGATAATTTGGGAATGATTCCCGATGGAATTCCGGGATTTTCCATGTTTTTCCAGGGGAAAGGCCGTTCCAGTGCCAGCAGTGCGGCGCCTCCTTCACGCAGAAGGGAAATCTCCTGCGGCACATCAAGCTGCACTCGGGGGAGAAACCCTTCAAGTGTCCCCTGTGCTCCTACGCCTGCCGGCGCCGCGACGCGCTCAGCGGCCACCTCCGGACACACTCGGGTACGGGAACGTCGGGAATATCGGGATAACGGGAATGTCGGGAATATCGGGAATGGGATAACAGGAATGGGATAACAGGAATGGGATAATGGGATAACGGGAATGGGATAACGGGAATGGGATAATGGGATAACGGGAATGGGATAATGGGATAACGGGAATGGGATAATGGGATAACGGCAGTGCTGGCGCTCTGACGCGCTCAGCGGCCACCTGCGGACACACTCGGGTACGGGAAAAACGGGAATGTTGGGAATGTCGGGATAATGGGAATGGGATAACAGGAATGGGATAACGGGAATGGGATAATGGGATAACGGGAATGGGATAATGGGATAACGGCAGTGCCGGCGCTGTGACGCGCTCAGCGGCCACCTCCGGACACACTCGGGTACGGGAATGACATCGGGATAATGGGAATGTCAGGAATATCGGGATAATGGGATAACGGGAATGGGATAACGGGAATGGGATAACGGGAATGGGATAACGGGAATGGGATAATGGGATAACGGGAATGGGATAATGGGATAACGGCAGTGCCGGCGCTGTGACGCGCTCAGCGGCCGCCTGCGGACACACTCGGGTACGGGAATGACATCGGGAATGTCGGGAAAAGCATTGGGAATAACAGTGGGAATGTGGGATAATGGGATAATGGGAATGGGATAACGGGATAAGGGGATGGGATCAGGAATGACGGGATTGGATCAGGGATAACGGGATGGGAGCAGGGAATGATGGTCCTGGGATGGGATCAGGGAATCCCATCCCATTGATCCCACTGATCCCATCCCAGGGATCCCATTGATCCCATGGATCCCATCAATCCCATCCCATTGATCCCATCCCATTGATCCCATGGATCCCCCTGGATCCCATCCCATTGATCCCATCCCACCGATCCCATCAATTCCATCCCATTGATCCCATGGATCCCATCCCATTGATCCCATCCCATCCCATTGATCCCACTGATCCCATCCTGTGGATCCCCCTGGATCCCATCCCAGGGATCCCATTGTTCTCATTGATCCCATGGATCCCATCCCACGGATCCCCCTGGATCCCATCCCAGGGATCCCATTGATCCCATCAATCCCATCCTATGGATCCCATCCCACGGATCCCCCTGGATCCCATCCCAGGGATCCCATTGTTCCCATTGATCCCATGGATCCCATCCCAGGGATCCCATTGTTCCCACTGATCCCATGGATCCCATCCCAGGGATCCCATTGTTCCCATTGATCCCATGGATCCCATCCCAGGGATCCCATTGTTCCCATTGATCCCATGGATCCCATCCCACGGATCCCCCTGGATCCCATCCCAGGGATCCCATTGATCCCATCAATCC